GGTGTATAACTGAAAACCTCAGAGACTTGAGAAAAATTAAGATGGGGAAGAATTAAGATGGGAAGAACTAGATGGGAAAGAACTAAGATGGGAAGAACAAAGATGGGAAAAACTAAGACAAGGTATTAAGATAGACCTTAGAACAGCAGAAAAATATAGAGAGAACCAGGCAAGAAAGGAGCTAAGTGTGAGAGCAGAGAAGAAGCTATGTGGAGAGAGAATTGACTCAGAAGAATGATGTGAATGGACTAAGAGTTTCGTGTATGTGGATTCATTTGGTATCTTTAAGATTAGATTCCTCAGCTGGTTGTTAGATTCTTCCACAGACCCCTGGAAAAGGCTATCAAGGGGCTGGACCCCAGTAGTCTTTGATAAAACAGGTTCTCATTATGTAGCTCTGGTTGTTCTCTCTAAGTAGACCAGGCTGGCCTTGAACTCATAGAGAGTCACCAGCACCTGACTCCTGAGTGCTGGGATTAGAGGTGGGCACCACCATGCCCTACTCCCTTTCTTGGTTTTTGAGACAGCATCTCACTAAGTTGTTGCACCTGTACTTAATCTGTTCAGGCTGGCCATGAACCTGGAATCCCCCTGCCTCAGTATCCCCACTACTGCAATGACAGGCACGCACCCCCACACTCATCTTCCTTACCTAGGTAGGTTTGCATGGTGGGGAACAGAACACATCTGCAGGAGGGAGGCAATGGCACCTGTTTTTCCCAGTATCACCTGCAGGGGGCATCAGGCCACTGCCTGATGCCAAGTCACAGGCTGACTGGAACCTGGGGAAGACAGGATGAACTTGTGGGGGTGGTTCTTGAGGACTGCCAGCACCTGGGCACCTCACAAATTAGCAGAGATGTCTGAGTCTGTAAGACTGCTAAACAAGTAGAAGCCACTAAGTCTGAGGACCTGAGCTGCATCCTTGGGAGCCACAGGGTGGAAAGAGAGAACCGATTACCAAAAGTTGACTTCTGACATGGTGCTGGTTATTTTTTGTCAATTTGACACAAGCCAGAATCATCTGGGAAGAGGGAACCTCTATTAAGAAAATACTCCTGAGCCAGGTGGTGGCAAACACCTTTAATCCCAGCACTCAGGAGGCATAGGCAAGTGGATCTCTGTGAGTTCCAGGCCAGCCTGGGCTACAGGGCGAATTCAAGAATAGCCAGAGCTGTTACACAGAGAAACCCTGTCTCAAAACAAACAAACAAACAAGCAAAAACAAAAAAGAAAGAAAGTGTAGACGAAATTCTAAACAGTCTTAGTAAATAAGAAACACATAGCCAAGTACAGAGGAAATAGCCAAAGAGATCAGAGCAATAGCCACGACTAGCTTTAGCTTACCACCAGCAGTTGCTTCCCCAGAGAGAGTTTCTTCCTGTCTGACTTGTGTTTTCATTGCCTTCCTGTTTTGCTTTCTCATTGGCTCTAAGCCCAGCCACATGACTTCCTCAACACTGCCTGTCTATACAGACCTCCAGGTCTCTATGGTTGGTACTGGGATTAAAGGCTCACGTCACCACGCTTGACTGTGTCATTGACCACACAGAGACTCTGCCTGCATTATGCTACCACCAGCGGACATCTGCTTAATGGCTATTTGACCTCTGATCTCCAGGCAATTTTATTTATTAACATACAAATAAAATAGCACATTTCATCACAAATAAAATATCACCACGAGAAAGAAAGAAAAAGAAAAGAAAATACCTGTCAAATTGGCCTGTAAGGAAATCTGTGGGGTTGTGCCTTGATGGACTATTGACGTGGGAGGACCCAGCCAACTGTAGGTGGCATGAGCCCTGGGCAGATGGTCAGTGCTACAAGAAAGCAAACTGAGGGAACGCGGAGATGGCTCAGCAGTTAAGAGCGTTTGTTGCTCTTGCAGAGGATGGGGTTGAATTCCCAGCACCCACATGGTGGCTCATAGTCATCTGTAGCTCTAGTTTCAGGGAATCTGATGCCCTCTTCTGACCCCTATGGACACCAGGCACATACATACATACATATCATAAGATAAAATAAATCTAAAGAGAAAAGAGCAGGTTGAGCAAGCCATGAGCAGTGAGCCAGAAAGCTGCATTCCTCTACAGTCTCGGCTCTAGTTTCTGCCCTCGGGTTCCTGTCTTGAGTTCCTGCCATCACTTCCCATCATGGTGGATTATAAACTGTAAGATGAAATATGCCCTTTCCAAGTTGCTTTTGGTCATGGTATTTATCACAGTTTCAGAAAACAAACAAAGGTAGACCTGCATAAACAGACCCTGGCATTCACATACACACACTTGCTCCCTTTCTTGAAAGAAAGAAAGAAAGAAAGAAAGGAAGAAAGAAAGAAAGAAAGAAAGCAGGAGGGAGGGATGGAGGAAGGAAGGAAGGAAGGAAGGAAGGAAGGAAGAAAGAAAGAAAGAAAGAAAGAAAGAAAGAAAGAAAGAAAGAAAGAAAGAAAGAAAGAAATTCCTGCTCTTTCCAAGCCAAGCAGCTTGGCCTCAGAGGTGAGTGTGAGTGACTTTGGAGATCCTTACCTGAACACCTGAAGCTGTGTGTCCCTGAGGCAGTGTCTTGGCTTCTCTGAGCTCTGGTCCCTCCTTTATAAACTAGCAATGCTGACAAGATGACAGCAGCAGTAACTGGTCTCTGAACAGGTTTATTCAGATTGGTCTCCTTCATGCTCACAGACGTTCCTTTATGTGGAACATCCTCATTGTACGGATAGGGAAACTGAGGCACGGGTGTTATCCAGCCTCTGCTTAGTGATGCATTGTTGGTTCTGTCAGTGGCCTCATTAAAGTAGAGACTGAGCAATGACTAGGACGGAGTCAAAGGGAAAGAGAGGAGGGGAGAGGAAGGAGATGGGAGGAATGGGAGGAGGGGAAGAAGAGGAGAGACAGGAGGAAGAGGAGGAGAGGGAGGGAGAGGAGGGAGACAGGAGGAAGAGGGGGAGGGGGAGGGAAAGGAGGGGGAGAGGAGGGAGGAGAAGGAGGAGAGGAGGGGAGGACGGGAGGAAGGAGGGAGCAAGACCCACCCAGATCTCCACACAGCACTAACACTGAGCAGGCTGCATGTAGAAAGAAATGTCTACAACTACAGGCGGAACGTCCGACCTCTGCTCTGCACCCCAGTGTGACAAAGATAGCTTCTGACAGCTTCTCCCAGTTGTCCAGGGAAGGCAAGGAGGGCATCAAAGGGGTGGGGACGTGGGAACAACCACCCAAAATGAGCGATGGGTGAGCACTCCGAAAACTGCTACTTTGTAATCTCAAAGGGAGGAAAGAAAAATGACCTCTTTGACCTTTTACCACATCCCCCAATTTCAGTACAAAACACACCCAAACAGCCTCTTAGAAATGGCTTGTTGGTTACCCACGCCAGAATTAGAACACCAGCCCCTATCGCCGTGGAGACGGTCGGTGTGGGGAGCAGGCCCAGCAGTTTTTCTGAGCTTCGGATGCCGTGTGCTGCACTGCTGACCTTCTGGGCCAGATGTGCACTGCTGTAACGGTGGCGCAGATGTTAAGGCACAGCCGACCGCTTTCTGCTTGGCATTGTAAGTCGGGTCAAAAGCACACGGCAGCATCTTCTCAGTTGTGGGTCCCTCTTCCCAGATGACTCCGGCTTGTATCAAATTGACAGACAGTGACCGGCACGGCACAGTTTCTGAGCTTTAGGCTCTGGATCTCTTTCATCGTCGTCGTCGTCTCACTCAGCACTTAATACAAGGACTCTGGTGCTCACCTCACGCTTCCTCTAGCTTCGTCCATTCCTGCATTCCTAGGGCCCAGAACGGGCTTACGACCAATAGACAATCAACCACCCCTCCATCTCCTGTTTCCTTGTGTGACGCGTGTGTATCTTCCTTTATCGCTCACCGTCTTTCCTTTCTGAGACAGGGTCTCTCACTAAGCCCAGAGATCGCTGATTGGCCGGGCTGGCTGGCCTGTGAGTTTCAGGGACCCTCCTGTCTTCTTCCACCCTAACATCCCACCCCACCCACCCCTCACCACTGAGGTTACTGACGTGCACAGAAAGTCCTTTATTGGCCTAGCCATCTCTAGTCTTCTTCCCTCCCTCCCTACAACCTCCTCCTCCTCCTCCTCCTTCTCTTCTTTTCTTTTTTCCGAGACGGTTTCTCTGTGTAGCCCTGGCTGTTCAGGAACTCTGTGTAGACCAGGCTGGCCTCAAACTCACAAAGATCCGACTACCTTTGCCTCCCAAGAGTTGGTATTAAAAGCATGTGCCTCCATGACCTGGCTCTTCCTCCTCCTCCTCCTCCTCCTCCTCCTCCTCCTTCTTCTTCTCTCTCTCTCTCTCTCTCTCTCTCTCTCTCTCTCTCTCTCTCTCTCTCTGTCATGAGAGCTAACTATGCAGCTTCAAGCTGACCTTGAACTCATGACCTGCCTGCCTCAGCCACACCCACACCCACCATGATGTCTCTCCCCCTCAGACTGATGGTATGATATAGATGCTAATGTAGTTTCCATTTCACAAACCAAGTTCAGAGAGGTCAGACAGTTATCCAAGGCCACACAGCTATGGGATTTGAGCTGGTGTGTGTGTGTGTGTGTGTGTGTGTGTGTGTGTGTGTGTGTGTGTGGCCTTTCCCTGAAGGTGTCCTAGACCACCAGTCTCACCAGACGGTGATGAGCCTGGCTCCTCGGGGACCTCCCACGGGCCTCGTTCCTCACCTGTGGACACATTCAAACGGTTGCCCAGAGAGAGCCAGGCTGTAACCTGAGCCTCACTAAGCTTGGGGTGACTGGATGGGTGGGCAGGTGACAGCCAGGGCATCTGCTCAGACACTATGTGCCTGGGTGCCCCTGAGGAGCCACCTGGAATTTCAGTTCCCGGGGATTCAAGACTGCGGTCCCCAGCATGGGCAACAAGCAGACTGTGTTCACTCATGAGCAGCTGGAGGAATACCAGGTGGGTGTGGGTGGTGGGTTCTGCCCTCTGGCACAGCCTGGTGTGGGACATAGGCAGCCAAGAGTCTCCGCAGAGCCTTGTTTGTGACATCAGGCTGTCTGTGTGGGTTTGGAGTGACTGGAGGGGACATGGAGAGGGGCAGGTCCGGGCCAAGCCAGTTTCTCTCCCCACAGGACTGCACTTTCTTCACGAGGAAGGAGATCATGAGGTCAGTGGGGAGGCGACACCCCAAAACAACTTTCTAGTCACTGCTGAACCTTTGTGCAGTCTGTTGGTTGTTGTTCTGTTTGGTTTGAGAAGGAGCTCAGGCTAGCCTCAAACTTACCTCTCCTCTTGAGTCCTGGGGTCTCAGGTGTGTGCCACTGTAGCTGGCTGCAAGTTGTTTTTGAATTATTATTATTATTGTGGGGAGCATGATCTGTGAGTGTGCAAATGTGTGTGCACCTGTGCCAGGGTGCATGTGTAGATGTCAGATGACGTTTTGTGGGGTTGACTCTTTCCTACCTCCCTTGGGTGCTGGAGACAGAGTCCAGATGGTTCAGATGTTCTCTTTCTGCCATGTGGCTCTCAGGGGTCACACTCAGGTCACCAGGCTTGGCGGCACGTCAGCAAGGGCCTCTACCAGATGAGCCACTTCGTCATTTTGGTTCCCCTTGGTTTTTCGTTGGTGGTTTTTTGTTTTTGTTTTTGAAACAGGGTTTCTCTGTGTTGTTCTGGCTGTCCTGGAACTCGCTCTGTAGACCAAGGGGGCCTTGAACTCACAGAGATCTGCCTGCTTCTGCCTCCTGAGTGCTGGGATCACAAGCATACTCCACCATGCTCTGTGTCTTTTGCAATATGACGGGAGTCAAAATAGCACTGTCAGGTTAAAGCTTTGATGTGGGTGTTGCCTCCAGGTCAGTGGGCCGAGGCAGATGCGCTTGGCCGAGAAGTCACATCCTGTCACACTGGCAGAGTTTTTGTACTGAGGAATTTGTACTTTTACGCAGCGGTAGCAGGGAGCCACGGAAGGTGCTGGAGCCCTGGAGAGGCACATTGGCATTTTGAGGTTGGGAGGCCGGCTCTGAGCCGTGAGCGGTGTGAAGGTGGGTGGCTCCTGGGTGACTGCAGGTCCCTGGCTTGAGCCCAGCAGGATGGACACAAACAAACCTCCTGTGTCACCCTTCTGACTGTTGGACCATTATCCGTGAACTTGGAGCCGTGAAACCCAAGCCGGCTGGGGTTCAGCTGTGGGGCGCTCAGGGCTGAGCCCCTCTTGTGTGGGCACAGGGCATCCATTATTGATGGGCACACCTCTCACCCATCAGCCCATTGTCTGTGTGAGGACAGTTGGCAGGGTCACTTTGGCCATCATGATCAGATTACTGGTGGGGAAACTGAGGCTTGGGCATGGAGGACTTCTGTTTCCAGAGCAGACAGGCAGAGTCCTGGTGAGTCTGGCATTTCAACTGGCCCAAGCTTCCAGATTGCCAACAGAGTAACCGAGACTGGGAGGAGAGAGGGACTTACTGGATACCACAAAGAAAGACAAACTCTCTGGGTCCTCCATATGGCTCAGCAAATAAAAGTCCATGCTGCCAAGCCTGAGAACCAATTTCAGACCCCAGGGCTCACACTGTAGGAGAGAATCCACCCCCATTAGTTGTCTTCTGACCTTGGTACATTGGCTGTAGCACGCACACACATGTACACAAATCAATACATAATGTAACTGTAAAAATACGTTTAAAGGAAAGATAACACACTCAGGCCATTCCCTGGAGGACCCAGACAAGGGGGTGGGGCATTTAGGACTGTGGCTCACCAGCCGTTCTCAGATATGCAGTCATGAGAAAGCCCAGGGACATCCTTGTCCCTCCAAGAAAGTTCTTAGCAGCTTGGGGACATCAGAGATGTCAAGGATGGTCTCTTTGAGGAGGGTACAAAGTCACCAGTGTTTTTGTAGACTCCCTTTTTTAAAAATCCAACCAGAAGTGGTAGCACAAGCCGGCCATCCCCACTCTTGGGGAGCTGAAGCAGGATGAGCATGAGATAGCCTAGGCTATATATGGAGACCCCCAAAAAATGGTCTGGTCTGAACATTAGCTGTTTGTGCCCTGCCCCATTGGGGAAACCTGCCTCCTAGTGTGGAGAGAGTGAAGAAAGTCTGAGACTTGGGTGGAGGGGTCAGTAGAGAGAGGATCCTGCTGATGTAATAATGAATCGTATAGGTTATATAGCCAGGTCCCTCAAATATTGGCTATGGAATGATGGATCAGTCATTAGCGCCTCCTTCTTCTAATTCCATCACCCGGGTCAACTCCTATTCCTACTTGTAAGCCTAACACCAATGCCTCCTCCTCCAGGAAGCCCTACTTCCTCCTTACCTTGTTTCTGCTTCCCCTCTGCACCCTGGCCTTGTCCGGGGAGGGAGACAGGTGCCTATTTCTGGTTCTGTGTGATCCAGGGTCAGACTCTGGCCTGAGGCTCTGGGGACCCAGCGTCCTTCCTTATGGAGTGAGTAACTGCCGGTGGGTATGATGAGGGACAAGTCCCTTCCGCCTCGTGGCTCCCAGCCTTCCCTGGCTTCTCCCTCCCCACACCAGGCTCTTCTATCGCTACCAGGACCTGGCCCCCCAGCTGGTACCCCTCGACTATACCACCTGTCCTGAGGTGAAGGTGCCCTACGAGCTGATTGGCAGCATGCCAGAGCTGAAGGTATGGCTGGGCTGTGGGGATAGAGGGGAAACGGAATGCAGACATCCTGTTCCTATGAGGTGGAAGCTGCTGGTGTCCCCCTTTCACAGAAAAGAAAACTGGGGCTCAGAGAGACTCAGCTGCTACAAGAGAAGCAAGGTTGAAACACATCTCCTGGAGAGGCAAGCAGGTCTCTGTGAGTTCGAGGCTGGTCTGGGATACGTTGCAAGTTCAAGGTCACCCATGCAGTGAGCTCCTACCTCTAAATAAATAAATAAATAAATAAATAAATAAATAGGAAAAGGAAAAGGGAAAAAAAGCAAGGAAGGAAGAAATCAGAAAGACAAAGGGCTTAGTCATGAGTTGGGAAGGAGACATCCAAAGGTGTGGGAGGATAAGAGGGGTGTGTATGCATGTGAGAGGGATGTGTGTGAGGGGGATGTGGGGGGATGTGTGTGAGAGGAATGTGGGGGGATGTGTGTGAGGGGAATGTGTGTATGTATGGGCAAAATGTGTGTGTGTATGTGTGTGTGTGTGCATGTGTATGGAAAGATGTGTGTGTGGAAGGGGGATGTGTTTGTGTGGTGGTGGTGTACGAGTGTGTGAGAGATGTGTGTGGAGGGGCAGTGTGTGTGTATGGAGATGATGTGTGTGTCAGGGGAGTAGGTATGCGGAGTGTGTGTGTGTGTGTGTGTGTGTGTGTGTGTGTGTGTGTGTCGGGGAATGTGTGTATGTGTGGAAAGAACCACTTGTAACTCCAGCCCCAGGGGATCTGATACTGTCTTGTGGTGTCACTCAGAGGTGATGTGTGGCACCAGTCCTGAGGAAACATGAATAGACATCTACTCACCCAGATGACAGACCAAAGTACAGCTATTCCCAGAGCCAACCTTGGTGAACCAATGGGTTTTATTGGGGTTCTGTCTTGGCCACTCTTCTATTGATGTGAAGGGACACTATGACCACAGCAACTCTCTTTTTTTTTTTTTTTTTTTTTTTTTTTGAGACAGGGTTTCTCTGTGTGGTTTTGTTGCCTGCCCTGGAACTCGCTCTGTAGCCCAGGCTGGCCTCGAACTCACAGAGATCCGCCTGCCTCTGCCTCCAGAGTGCTGCGATTAAAGACATGCACCGTTACCACCCGGTGACCATGGCAACTCTCATTGGGGCTTGCTTACAGTTTCAGAGGTTTAGTCCATTATCATCATGGCAGGAAACAAGGTGGCCCACAGGCAGACATGGTGTTGGAGAAGTCACTGAGAGTTCTACATCCGGATCCACAGTCAGCAAGGAGAGCCATTGGGCCTGGCTTGGGCCTTTGAAACCTCAAAGGCCACCTCATGTGACACACTTCCTCCACATTTCCTCCAACAAGGCCACACCTTCTAATTCTTCTCAAGTAGTTCCACTCCCTGATGACTAAGAATTCAAATACATGAGCCTATGGGGGCCGTTCTTATTCAAACCATCACAGGTTGCTCTCAGGAGCAGAAATGACTCACAGACAGCCGCATCACCAAAGCCCACGCCAGCACAAGTGACATCTCACAGAGCTGGCATCCTGGAGCACACTGCACAGCCTGCAGGTGGCTCAGCAGGTTGGAGAGTGTCCCTTCCAAGTGACTCCGTTGGCCTCAACCTCTTCATGTCTGAGCCTCTTTTAAGTGGCCCAGCTTGTCTGAGAGCATCCCTCAGCAGTCCTTAGAACATATAAGCTCTTGGAGAGGAAAGGACTAGTGAGTCTAGTTAGTTTCAGGGACTTCCTGAGCCTACTTTGTGTGCTTCAGGTATTAATAGACTACCCTGCAGGATGGAGTGTTTCTCTTCCCCTTAACCAGTGGTTCTCAACCTGTGGGTTGTGATTCCTTTGGGGATCAAATGACTCTTTCACAGGGGTTGCCTAAGACCATTGGGAAACGCAGATGTTTACATTATGATTCATAATAGTATTAAAATTACAGTTATGAAGTAGCAATGAAAATAATTTTATGGTTGGGGGGTCACTACAACATAAAGAACTGTGTCAAAGGGTCACAGCATTGTGAAGGCTGAGAACCACAATCGTAGAGCATTTTGTATTTCTCCTCCCTTTCTACATCTGTGCCTTAAGAAATTTCCCTCTGCTGGGCAGTAGTGGTGCACACTTTTAATCCCAGCACTCGGGAGGCAATGGCAGGAGAATCTTGTGAGTTGGAGGCCAGCCTGGTCTACAGAGTGAGTTCCAGGAAAGCCAGGGCTACACAGAGAAACCCTATCTCAAAACAACAACAAAGAACAATGATATTTCCTTCCAAGAGGGCATAAAAGAAAGCACCTGTACTCACATGTACACACACACACACACACACACACACACACACACACACACACACACATACACACCATTAAAATGAAATAAACCTTTACTGATTTTTTATTTTATTTTGCTTTTGGCTTTTTGAGACAATCTATGTAGCCCTAAAACTCACTACATAAATCTACCTGTCTATGTCTCCTGAGTGCTGAGATTAAGTGTGTGCACCATCACACCCAACTTGCTTGCTTTTCTTTCTTTCTTTCTTTCTTTCTTTCTTTCTTTCTTTCTTTCTTTCTTTCTTTCTTTCTTTCTTTCTTTCTTTCTTTCTTTCTTTCTTGGAGCTGAGGACCAAACCCAGGGCCTTGTACTTGCTAGGCAAGTGCTCTGCCACTGAGCTACATCCCCAACCACCCCCAGCTGTATATTTTAGTTTTAAAAAATATTTTATGATATGTGTATGAGTGATTTGCCTGCATGTATGTCTATACACCATGTGCATGCCTTGTGTTTTCAGAGTCTGGAAGGGGGTGTTGGATCCCTAGGAACTGGAGCTATATAGATGGTGTGAGCCACCACGTGGGTGCTGGACACTGAACCTGGGTCCTCTGGAAGAGCAGCCAGAGCTCTTACCCACTGAGCCATCTCTCCGGGCCCTAAATCTAGTTTTTTTTTTTAAATATATTATATATGTGAATGTAATTGTCAAACAATAAGTAAAACATTATTTAAAAACTAAAATGAGAGAAAGAGTGAGCACACACACACACACACACACACACACACACACACACACAGGATACAGCTAAGTAGTAGAGTGTTTGCTCAGCATGCGTGAAATCCAGTCTCCAAGCCTGGAAACACACACACACACACACACACACACACACACACACACACACACACACACACTGAGGATACAGCAGATATTTGCCTTCCTGTCCCCAGGATAACCCTTTCCGACAGAGGATTGCACAGGTCTTCTCTCAAGATGGAGATGGTCACATGACCTTAGAGAACTTCTTGGATATGTTCTCAGTGATGAGTGAGATGGCTCCACGGGACCTGAAGGCCTACTACGCCTTTAAGATTTATGGTGCGTGCAGGGCCCTGGGCTGGGAACCAGACAGAGACCATATAATGCTCATCTCCCCAGGGACTCCAATGTCCACATAGCCAGGGCCTCCACCCTATCCCAGACCTCCTTGTACACTATTTATATAAGTCACATTTCTTGAATTTATCAAATGCTTCCAGCCTCAGAACATTTGCTCTCTGGGGGTGCTACATTTGTAGCACCATCTACAGCTCCTCACTGGCGGAATCCTAGGCAGGGGCTCCACCCCTGAGCCACGCCCCCAGCCCCTCACTGGGGGATTCTAGGCAGAGGCTCTACCCCCTGAGCCATATCCTCATCTGTCTCTGTTCAGAGTGCATGTAGGTGTTCAGTATTTCCTGAATGAGGGCATGTGGAATAACAGCACTTTTCTCATGGCCTGGCTCATAACAGGCACTTAATACTCACAAGTGAGTCAATGAAGAACAGTTGCTAAGGTATCCAACACACAGTAGGTGCTCAGTAAATGGACCAATAAAACTCTCCCAGGCCCCAACAGCTCACAGACCCCATATGTGATGATCCCTCTGTTGACTGATTCACTTATGCTCCTGGGAATGTCCTCGGTGTCCCTGACCTCAGCCACATCTGCCGTGGAAGTCATCAGGAGCGTGTGTGCAGCTCTGTGGGCAGGCGCAGGTCTAAACACTTAAAACATTATTTATTTATTTTAGCATGTGTAGGGGGAGTTAATGAATGACAAATCACTACCACAGTGGCTGGCAAGCAGTAGGTATTCAATATATACTTGATGGGTCAGTGAATGAATAAAAAGCAATTATGATGCCTGGTACATAGTGTGCACTTAACAAATACTTGTTAAGTGAATAAATGCCTCCCCCCCGCAAAAGTTAACATGTATGACACATAGTAGGTACCTAGTAAATATTTCTTGAATGAGTGCCTGGCACACAGTGAGTGCTCAATTAGTTGACTGGCTGGATGGATAGATGAAGTTATCATAATGGCTGGCAAACAGAAGGCACTCAATAAATGCTTGCTTAAGTAAGAGAAAATCAGTCATTGTGGTGCCTGGCATACATTAGGTGTTGTATAAGTAAAAGAAACAGTTGTCACAATGGCTGGGGTGGCTCTCAGTGCCTAGGGTGTGAAGCTCTAGGGTAATCAGTAGGTGATCAATAACTGGCACTTGAGTTCCGGGCATCCCTGTGCAATTCCAAAGCCTGGGGACAGACATGTCCTCCTGCCACCTGGTGTCCCAGCCCTACTGTCGGCCTCACAGACTTCAACAATGACAACTACATCTGTGCGTGGGACCTGGGGCAGACGGTGACCAGGCTGACCCGTGGGGAGCTGAGCGCTGAGGAGGTGACCCTGGTCTGTGAGAAGGTACTGGATGAAGCAGACAGCGACCATGATGGGCGGCTGTCCCTGGAGGACTTCCAAAACATGATCCTGCGGGCGCCAGACTTCCTCAGGTGCAGGTTCAGACCCAGGGATGGGAACTCCCGCTGTGTCATCAGATACCTCAGGGAACTTCCCCAGATTCTGTGGCTTCAGCCCACTCTGTCTGAGAACCATAACCAAGAGGCTGTGGACATCTCCTGTGGATATAAGCAGTGTTTCCATCAACTGCCAGAGTTTGGCTGTAAACTGTCCACACAGCTGTCCTCAGCATTCTGGGGTAGGGTCGGCGCCCCAACTGCAGGGCTGGGGGGGGGGCACGTGGGTGCATGGTTAACACAGAGTTGGTAGACTGCGGGCCAGGGCCACATCCATCCATTCCTATGTTTGGTTTACTTTTTCTCAGAAAAGGTCTCACTATTTAGACCCAGCTGGCCTGGAACTCTCTATGTAGACCAGACAGGTCTTGAATTCACAGAGATTCTGGAGTGGGTAGCCATTCCAGCTTTGGTCTGGAAGTTCCGACCCCCACTGAGGCTTTGGTCACTATCACACCCACAAGGCAGGGCCAAGGGAGGGCCTGAAGACCCGAGATCGGGATGTGCAGCGCTCTCTTGCTGCTGGGAGCCTGGCTAGCTCAGTCAGTAGAGCATGAGACTCTTAATCTCAGGGTCGTGGGTTCATGCCCCACATTGGGCGCCAGGTATAGGTGAAATTATTACAGCCACTCCACGTAGTTAAAAGGAGAGTTATTTAATGGCATAACTTACAAATGAAGGAATAGGTAGGTTGAGGGTTCTGGGAAAGACGCAGCAGTAGTCCAGCTATGTTCTCTGGAGAACTCTCCTCTGTCCACCTCTAGTGTCTGGTTTTCAGGCCCTTCCTTGTGGGCGTGATAGTTACCAAAGCCTCAATGGGGGTTGGAACTTCCAGACCAAAGCTGGAATGGCTACCCACTACAAGATTCACCTGCCTCTGCCTCCTGAGTGCTGAGGTTAAAGCCCTGTGCCATAAATTGAAGCCTAAACACTCCCGATTATCTGAGGAGTAAACTGAGGCTCAGAGAGGGCCGACAGCCAGTCTGGGAAGAGGCGGGAGTGTGAATGCTTACCCAGATAGGTGCCTAAGATCCCCATGGAGAGCGGGCATGGTGGCACACATACCTGTAGTTGAAGCATCCAGAAGTCTGAGGCAGGATGATTGCTGTGAGTTCCAGGGCTTCCTGAACTACAGAATAAGGCAAGGCTTTCAAAATCCAAAACTAACCAAACGAAAAACAGATCTCTGGGGCTGGTGAGAGGGCTCAGTGATTAAGAGTGATTGCTGCTCAGGCCAAAGACCTGGGTTCTGTTTCCCAGCACCACATGGTGGCTCACAATTGCCTGTAACTCCAGTTCCAGGGGATCCATGTGCGTGTGTGTGTGTGTGTGTGTGTGTGTGTGTGTGTGTGCGCGCGCGCGCGCACGCGCATGCACACATAAACAGGTAAATATTTTATAAAATATAGTGTGGAAGCCTGAGGAATGACCCCTGATGTTGACCTATAGCCTAAGTCTCATAGGGGCAGGAGAATTACTGTCTGTGATTTCTAGGGCGTCCATATTCCTGTGGATCCCTGCTTGCCTCTGGGTCTAAAGAGAGAGTATTGGGGACCCAGTATCTATTTTCGAGCTATCAGTGATGCCTCTGTTTTCTGTACACAGCACCTTCCACATCCGCATCTGACAGTGCCCGGAGGATGAGGCCTGACCCTCACCCATCTCGACTCTGATCTCTCTGAATAAACAGGAATCAAACCTGCCTCAGGATCTTTGCTCTCTGCTGTGTGGCTTTGGGTGTGGCCACACCCACTCTGAGTTGCCATCTTCCATTCATACAACAAACTGATTTCTAGACCTCAAACCAGGAACTTCACAGTTAACATATGAAAGCTGTCCAAGCCACACCATAGCTCCTTTCCAGAGGCCAACTCGAGCCCATGAGTGCCTCATTTTTCACTCACACCTCCATGTCTTGTGAATTCCAGGAGCCCAAGGTTGTCCCAGGGTCTTTGTGTAGGGCACCCGCCTGCCCGCTAGGTGGTTATCCCACCACATGGCCCAGCCACCCAGAATTCCCAGACCACTCACTCCAGTGATTAAAAGCATCAGGCTCTGGGGTTGGAGAGATGGCTCAGCTATTAGCAGCACTTACTGCTCTTGCAGAGGACTTGGTCCCTGGGTTGGGTTCCAGCTGCTATGTGGTGGTGGCTCTCAACTGCTTTGAACCTCCCATTCCAGCAGGCCTGATGCCACCTTCTGGCCACCATGGGCAACTGCACTTATGTGCACACACACATACCCACATACACACATTTAAAAATGAAAATAGTTCTAGCCGGTTGGTGGTAGCACATGCTATTAATCCTAGCACTTAGGAGGCAAAGGCAGGCAGATCTCTGTGAGTTCAAGGCTAGCCTTGTCTACATAGTGAGTTCCAGGACAGCTAGGGGTACACAGAGAGACATTATCTCAAACAAAACAAAAATAATAAAAATGAAAATAGGACAGGCCTGGTGTGGTACAACTTTAATCTTGTCATTCAGGAGGCAGAGGCAGGTGGATCTCTGTCAGTTCTGGCACAGCCAGGATTACATAATGAGACCCTATCTCGATGATGATGGTGATAGAAGCCCAGCTCCTCCCTGCCTCTTTTCTACATGTTCCTCCTGAGAAGGGACCGCTGTCTTCCCCATCTCCCAAGAGAAGAAATGGGCCCAGAGAGGTCTATGTTCATCGAAGATCACACAGCACTTTAATGTAGGAATGCTTTCAGAGGCCACTACCAACGGCCACCCTGGACAGATGCCTTTGTGTTTTGTGGGGAGGAGGGATGCATGTGCTCATGTGTGTTCTCTTGCAGGCAGATGCCAGAGGACAACTTTGACTGTTGTTCCTCAAAGGCTGTCCACGTTGCCTTTCAATTTTTTTATAATATTATTTGTTGGCACGGACGGGGCACATGTGTAGAGGTCAGAGTACAGCTCATAGGAATGGGATCTCTCCTTCCACCATGGGTCCTGGGGCTCAAGCCCAGATCCCCAGGCTTAGCTGCAAGTACCTTAACTGGAGCCATCTTGCCTGCTCTGATTTTTTTTTTTTAACACTGGTCTGGAATTCACTCCGTAGGCTAATGTGGTTGAATGTGAAATGTGGAGCCCATGATACAGATGGCTAACCCATGATCAGAGAGGTTGGGATACAGGCCTGGCATGTGCTGTGCCCACCAAGTCACTGTGGTAATTATTTTTAAAGTTATATTTACTACATGTGTATATCAACACATGTATGTGGAGGTCGGAGGGCAACTTTCAGGAGTTGGGGCTCACCCTCCATCATGTGAGTACCAGGGATCGAACTCAGGTACTCACGCTTGCCTGCAAACGCCTTTATCTCACCTGAGTCCCTAAAGAGGTACTCCTGTTATTATTAGAATAATCAGGTCCCTCTGCTGGCAGCTGCAGAATTCAGCCCGTAACCTCTTTAACACAGCTCTCTGGTTGTGAGGACATGGGTGGGGACTGGAAAGAAGAGGCCGGTACCCAAGATAGTGGGGTGGGGGTGGGGGGCGCTGTCAGTACCCAGGGGCGAAAGGTGGTGGTGGGAGGTATTCCTCGGGTAGCCAGTCCTGGGCTTCTGGCAAGTCTACAGGCTCTGGCTTGGTTGCCTGGACCGACAGGGCCCTCACCACCTTTTCACGCCAGGCCTTGACCCCTGAGACCGCCTCCTTCCAGCTGGCAGGCCTAGAGGCTGTGAGGGTGGCTTCTTCGCCTCTCCAGGCCTGGGGCTCTGAGGGGTTTTGGAGAGAGGTGGCTGCACAGGGGTCCGCGGAGTGGCGAGCGCTGTCCCAGCTGGACGCTCGAGTCCTTGGGCTGCGATGCTGTGCCACACGCCTCACGTCCCCGAGGAGGTTCGTGGCTGACAGGTGCGAAGTGAGCCTCTGCTTTACCCTCCGGCTGGTGTCTGGCAGCGTCCTCAGGTTCTTCCACAGCCTCTGCCCCGCCTCCCCAAAAAGTGCTTTTGGGGAGCAGGGGGCAGATGCAAGCTTTCCATCCGTTGCTGCAGAAAGCTTCCTTTCAGGAGCCTGGAATAGGGAACAGGGAACAGAGAAGGGGAGGCCTGGGGCCCGGCTGATCAGCAAAGCTCCAGGCAACCCCACAACCTTGCCTCAGGGCACTGGCGCTCCCAAGACCGATCACTGCCCCATCCTGCCCATGTCTATGTGTGGCTTCACCACCGTTCTCAAGGTTTGGCAAATTTTCTCAAAAAAAAAAAAATTACAGCTAGGCTGGGGGCGTGGCTCAATGAATTTACCCAACATGCTTTTGGGGACCACTTCTATTGTCAGCATTTGCCCCACCCGTCTCCGTTGAGGGGGTAGAAGATAGGATCACTAAGTACCCCTGAGGTCCCTAGCCACAGTGGTCCATGTATTGCCATTTGTCACTCTGTTCTGTAGACACACAAGCCCCAGGGCCTTGGCACACGTCTCCCCACTCTGGGAAGGCCCTTCCTGAATCTCTGTGTCCAGCTCCCTGAAACCGCCTCCAGGATGTCTTCTCTGACTTGCACCCAAACAGATGTCCAAAACACCAGCCTGCTTCATTCCCGCCACTGTCAGACACCCCACCCCCCACCCCTGCAACACAGGAAGCCTGGAGTATAACATGGGCTCAACCTGAAGGGTCCACTAGCCTTGAGGAACCACAGCACACACATCCATCATTTATTCACCCATCCACACTGAAGATTCATTAGCCTGGCTCCTTCAAATGGTGACCTGGCTGGGCCTGGCTGGGCCTGGCTGGGCCTGGCTGGGCCTGGCTGGGCCTGGCTGGGCCTGGCGGTGCATGCCTTTTTTTTTTTTTTTTTTTAAGATTTATTTATTTATTATGTATACAGTGGTTTGCCTGCACGTATGTCTGCACACCATAAGAAGACACCAGATCTCATTACAGATGGCTGTGAGCCACCATGTGGTTGCTGGGAAATGAACTCAGGACCTCTAGAAGAGCAGTCAATGCTCTTAACCTCTGAGCCATCTCTCCAGCCCCCTGGTGGAGCACACCTTTAATCCCAGCACCCAGGAGGCAGAGGCAGGAGGATCTCTGTGAGTTTGAAACCAGCCTGGACTACATAGGGAGTTGAGGCCAGCCAGGGCTACACAGAGTGACCTTGTCTCAACAGAAACAAACAAAAAATGTGCCAGGTCCCCTTGGAGGGGTGAGGACAGCAGTGCAGAATGAGTCAGCCACCTGGGCCGCAAGGCTTGATGGGAGAAACAGAAAGTAACACCTGCACACCCAGAATAAACAAAAGCCTCTCACGTTGTCGGAAGTGGTTCTCTGCAATGACCACACGGGGCAATGTGTGTGGTGAAACTTAAGATCCAGGAACTAGGGAGAGAGACCCTTGAATGGCTTCTAAAAGAAGAATCCTGGCAAGTGTCCCAGGAGGAAGGGCCTGGAGGAGAACGGCACCAAAGGTTCTCAGGGCGGCTGATGGGTCTGAACACAAGAAGCAGCTCAGGGGGCGGGGCTGAAGTTCCAGAGTTCCTGGTTGCTTCTGGTGGGGTAGAGATGGAACCCTGAGCTTAGGCACCCCGACAAGCGCTCTACCACTGAGCAACACACAACCCGAGACGGCAACGTGGAATCTAATCCGAGTCTAGAAATCACTGGAAAGTTGTCTTTTTCTTTAATTACCCAGCTACAGAAGAGAACTCTTTCTAGAAAGGGCCTGCTCTAGCATCTTTCTCTGCCAGAGCCAGGCTGGAGGTGCCTCCCAGGACCTACCTCTTTGGGAGGGCAGGAAGAAGGCCTCTGAACATCCGTGGGGCCACCACCTCGGCTTTCAGCATCCTGAGCCAGGGCATTCGAGTACAGGAAGAGATCTTCGTAGTCCACGTTTGCTGGATCCTTCTGCAAGGTGTGGAAGAGACATAGAACTCAGACTCAGCAGTGGGAAAGGCTGGGATGGGGAGAACCCTGGTTTGGAGGCCTCTGAAAGCGGGTATCAGAACCCAGGCCACGCCCACCGGGCCTCAGGGGAAGAGCCCCGCCCACAGTGTCTAGGCCACGCCCACCAGCCTGGATGAAAGAGCCCTGCTCACAAGTCTCAGATGGTGGAAAGAGCTCCAGCTTACAGCAGATCTTAGGCCACACTCATCATTCATTAACTGAACGAGCCCAGTTCACATCAGGTAAGCCACGCCCACCAGCCTCAGAGGAAAGCCATCATTCCTGCAGATGAACCCCTGTGGATTCCATGCTAGGGAGCCTCTGGCACTCGCGGGCCCCCAACTGGGGTCCCCTCGCTCCCACCTGCCCGCAGGCTTGCGTCAGCAGCTCCCCGTATGGCCGAATGGGTTTCTGCTGGTGGAAAGTGACCAGGGCGTCCAGAGAGGCGTGCGTTACGTGGTCCCCAGGAAGGATGAAAGTCCCGTCGTCCGAGAGCTTCACCATGAAGTGACGGCAGCAGGTCTGGGCTCTGCGGAGACACTGCTGGGCTTGGGATGCAGCCACTGTGCCTAGATCTCCCCAGTTACCACGCAGGGCTTCCAAGGCCCACCTCAGGAGTTCTTGGGTGGGTGAAATAAGGGGATACGAGCTAATTGGGGTGCCTGCCTGTCATCCCTGCGTTGGGAGACCCAGGGGAAAAGGATGGAGGGTTGGAAGCCAGCCTGGGCTACACGGTGAGACTCAGTCTCAACCAAATAGTAGTAGCAAAATGATAGTAATCTTCTCATTTTAAAGACACCATCTCATGGAGTCCAGGCTACACTTAAACTTACTATGTAGCCAAGGAGGACCTTGAATTTCAGATCCCCCTGACTCAGCTTTCCCATGCTGGGTTAACAGATGTGTACCCCCATACTGCATAGCCAGTTCAAGGCCGCCTGGCTATGAAACCCTCTCCCAAATAGGAAGACAGGGATAGAGAAAGGAGGGAGGGAGGGAGGGAGGGAGGGAGGAAGGAAGGGAGGGAGGGAAGGAGGAAGGTTTTCCCGTGACTGCTCAAAGATGCCAAAATCAGGCTTTGAGGCCCCAGGAGCTCACAGCCCTGACTTCCCTGACCCAGACTCATGTCACTAATCTGAAGGTGAAGGATGGAAGGAGGCAGGGGCCACCCTCAGATCTCTGCCTGCCCGATCCTCAGACCCAGGTCTCAGGGCTGCCCTAGTGTTCCAGGCCTGCACACTGGGCAGGCCCCTTATGCATGAGGTGCCTTTGTCCCTCTCCGGGAAGCCTGGGCCTAACCTCCCCCATGGCCTTACTTGTAGGAAAGGGTGTAGCCCACATGGCTGTGGCTGACTCGGATGAGAAAGGACCCCAGGGGTTGTGACTCCAGCAGGTTCTCAGCAGCTCTGGAGAGGCACAGAGGAAGGAAGGAGAGGCTGGATATGGAGGCAGGCCGGCCAGCACAGGGGATGTTAGCAACCCGGGGCTCCATCTGGCTCTGGTTATGCACAGGGCTCTTTTAGTTTTGCACACGGCAGCCCAGGTCTCTCACCTCTATGTTCTGTGCGTGCCTGTCCACCCCCACCCCTCTGATCAACACACAGAGCAACCTTGGACCCCCACCTGACCCTGACCTGGGAACCCTGACCCTGACCTGGGAATCCTGACCTGGGAACCCTGACCCTGACCTGGGAACACCTGACCTGGGAACCCTGACCCTGACCTGGGAATACCTGACCCTGACCTGGGAACCCTGACCCTGACCTGGGAATACCTGACCCTGACCTGGGAACCCTGACCTGGGAACCCTGACCCTGACCTGGAAACCCTGACCTGACCTGGGAACCCTGACCCTGACCTGGGAACACCTGATCCTGACCTGGGAACACCTGACCCTGACCTGGGCACACCTGACCCTGACCTGGGCACACCTGACCTGACCTGGGAACCCTGACCCTGACCTGGGCACACCTGACCCTGACCCGGGCACGCCTGACAGGCCCTGGAGCTTGCAGGCCTGCACTGTCAGGCTGCCTTTCTTTTCTTTTGGGGGAAAGGTCATGTAGCTCAGGCTGGCCTCACACTCACTATACAGCTGAGGATGAACTTGAACTCCTGATCCTCCACCTTCTGAGTACTGGGATGACCTTATGCTTGGTTTCTGCAGAATGGGAACAGATTGAAGGGCTTTGTGTGTGCCAGGCAAGCACTCTACCAACTGAGTTACAAGCACTCTATCAACTAAGCTACAAGCACTTTACCAATCAAGCCATTGCCACAGTCTCTGAATAAGTATATAATACCCTGTCTTTCTTGGTGGTTTGAAGCGCTGGGTTGTGGACACTTGGAGGCCTCTGATGTTGACCCTGAAGTAGATCTTCTATCTCCCACAGCCCCTGCTTGCCTGTCCCAGATCTGAAATCCTCTTAGGTGGAGCACAGTACCCCAGGTGAAAAAGCCGGGGCTATGATCCGTCTGATGCACTGAGTCTAGAGCCCAGCTGTGCTATGCATCTGCTGTGTGACCTCAGGCAGGTGTCTAACCTTATCTGTTCCCATGGCCGGGAGCTAATCTGGGAATGGTGTGAACAGGGGGCTTGCCACCTGGGTATACCCCCAAATGTTCACTGTGGTTAGGGGTGACGACTAAGAAGGAGGATATGGCAGGATGGGGGTTATCATTACGTCCTTACTCTCGAGAGATGGTGCCGTGGAACCACTCCGGGATCCCGTATTGGACCAGTGGGTCTGCTTGGGTGTGCACAAACCAGTCCAGCCGAGGGGGCAGTGGTGGGGGCAGCTTCCAGGCTTCTGCCATGGCATCCAAGGAAGGCGGTCACCTTGGGGGAGGAGGGAAAGATTCTTCATACCTCACCTTATATTCTGAGAAAGGGTCTGTCACTAAAGCTGGGGCTGGTCACAGAATCCCAGGGGTCCTCCCATACCCCCTAACCCCCACCCCGTGCTGGGCCTTTGTTTTTCTCTGTTGTCTCCGTGGCTGCTGGAAGGCAAATCTGAATTCTTAATGCTCACACAGCAAGCACTTTATGGACTAAGGGGGCTCTTGGTTTGGTCAATGAGACAAGCTAGCCTGAAACGAACCATGTAGACAAGGATGGCCTTGAACCCCCAACCGTCCTACCTCTCCCTCCTTAGGTGACAGACAGCTCCTCCTGTGTGCTGTTAATTCACACTCATGTTGGTTGATTTACACTCAGGGTACCGCAGGGCTTTGTGGGCTGAGGACATAAAGGACATGGTCCTGAAAGGCAAAACGGTCTTAAGTGTTAACCTGAAGGAAAACCAGCAAGAAACTCTGCCCCGGGGCCTCAATCACTCTTCTTTCAGTCCCGAGACCTGAGCTGTGTGTGCAGTCCCCACCTCCAGCCCTGGCTGATGGGCTGCTCCCACAGGGAGGGGCCAGTTGACACAGGGTGGCTCTGCTGCCTTTCTTCCCAGACAACAAACTCATTCCCTCAGGTGTGGCCCAAAGGCACTCCGAGGAAAGTCATTAACCAATCCATTAATGAACACTTGATAACCGAGCTGCACACTGTCTCTGCCTCCATTTCCTGTTCCCTCTCTCTCAGCAGGGGTTCCATGGAGGTGAACTGTCTCTTCCAGGCTGGGGTCTCCCCAGGATGAGGCCTGGGATCACAGGCATCAAAGCATCTGGGATTAGAGGCAGATTATCTGGGTTCAAATTCTACCCTACATGGCTGCTGTGTGAAGTCATAAACTTAACTGCTCGGGGGCCTTAACTTCTGTGGTTAGGTGACGTCTTTGGAAGGGGATGGCTGGGACAAAGTACTATACAGTCAACACATTATATATTCTATAGATTGCTTACACACCTGTATATATGGAAAGGTGAGAGGCGGCCTCTTTATTTTCTGTTTTATTTTTATTTTTTGAGACAGAATTATGTAGACCAGGCTGGCCTTGGTGTAGCTAAGGATAACCCTGAACTCCTGATCGTCTCACCTCCCTGTCCCAAGTGCTGGGATGACAGGCCTGCTCTATTTAACCCAGGTTACACTGTGCCAGGACCCCAGGCTATTGCCACATACCCATAATCCCTGCACTTGGGAGGCTGCGGCAGGTCTACCATGAGCTCAAAGCTACCAGGACGATGCTGGGAGACCCTGGATTAAAAACAAAAGGCCAAATGTGGTGGTGTACATCTGTCATTTCAGTACTTACAAGGTGGAGACAGAAGCATCAGGTGTTTATAGACCACCCTTGAAAATAATAATAGTGGAGCTGAAACTCTCCCATTCCCTGGTTTTTATTTATTTTATTACTTATTTATTTTTAAAAGGTTTTTATTTTTATTTATGTGTGTGTGCTTCTCTCTCTCTCTCTCTCTCTCTCTCTCTCTCTCTCTCTCTCTCTCTCTCTCTCTCTCTGTGTATGTGTAAATGTTTATCAGCCATGTGTGTGCAGGTACCACCGGAGGCCGGAAGGTAGCACTAGATCCCTGGAGAGATTTACAGGTGGTTGTGAGCCTCCCAGTGCAGGTGCTGGGAACTGAACTCAGATCCTCTGCAGGAGCAGTGTGCACTCTTAACCATTTACCCTTCTCTCCAAACTCATTCTGATATTTAAAAATTTTAGTGTAGCCGGGCAGTAGTGGCACACACCTTTAATCGCAGCACTCGGGAGGCAGAGGCAGGTGGATCTCTGTGAGTTTGAGGCCAGCCTGGGCTACAGAGCGAGATCCAGGACAGCTAGGACTGTTATAGAGAGAAACTCTGTCTTGAAACAAACAAACAAACAAACAAACAAACAAACAAAAAAACAGTGTGTGTGTGTGTGTGTCCAAGTGTACGGACACACACGTGTGCGGGTGTATGTAGGCCTGAAATTGACATCAAGTGTCTTCTTCATTCCCTCTCCCCCTTACGTATTGAAGCAGAGTCTCTGAATAAGCTGGAGCTGGCAGCTTCGGTGAGTCTGACTAGCCAGCTGCCCTGGGGCTCTCTTGCCTCCACCTCCCACACGCCTCCGGGATGACAGGTGGCCATGGATTGCCTGCCAGACTTGACTTGGGTTCTGGGGATCTGCGCTCAGGTCCTCACGACCCTCTGCCAAATGCTTTATCGACTGGGCCACCCTGTCAGCCCTTCCCTTTACTTCCCCTTTCTTATTTCATTATTCACCATGCAGGCACAGACACCTCCATGGTGCTCCAGTTCTGACAGTATTCATGCAGATTGGAGTCCCGGTCCCCAGGGGTGCAGCCAGGCTGTGGAAGTACACGCTGTGACAAAATCACCTACCAAGGCATCTCCCAGAACGTATCCCGTCATGAAGGGACTCTACATCTGCCTCTGTATAAAATACAGCTGAACCCAGTCACAAGCTGGCACAGAATTCTCTTTTCACCTCAGAGCACTGTTACACTTCTTTCAAGACCCAATGCAAATGTCCTTTCCTCCAGCCAGCCTTCCTGCCTCCCTCTCCTACAAAAATCAGGGCAATGTTCCCTCCCCTTGAGGTTCCCCATTGTTCCTTCCTCTGCTGGCTCCAGCTGGATCCCAAGGAGCTGGAGGGACTTTATCTCTCTCTGTCTTACCCTCATTGCTTCCTTAGGACACACACAGGTCGTTGGTTTCTTTGAAACAGGTCTCACTAGGTAGCTGAAGCCAGCCTCAAACTCATGATCTAGCCTGCCTCGGCCACCACAGTGCTGGAATGGCAGGTGTGGCGAACCATGACAGAGCTTGCACGCGGTCCCCTTCCCTGGTAAGCCTTTCCCTTATCTCCCAGGTCCACTCCACCCGGAGCTGGAGCCACAGAGGCTCTGCAGTTGGGGAATGTAGGGATGCAGCGATGCCAGGATTCCAGATGTGGAGCTCAGGATGTAGGACACATACCTTGGAGAGCCTGGGCCGTGTTCCGCAGGGCTCCTGAGCTGCCGCTGGAGCCTAAGTTTCACTTCAGGGTCTGCACGTCAGAGGGGCAGGGCGGGCAGCCCCAGGCAGTTCCTGTTTCCTCCAGCAGGTGAACAAGGGCGGGACCAAGCTCAGGGCTTGTATCTGTAGCTGATACTGGCTCCTGCCAAGTGTTTGCTCAGTAGCTATTTGCTGCCAGCTCCATGGATCCCCAAAGACAGCTGCAGCCCCTCCTTCCCTTTTGAGACACAGTCTCATGTAGCCCAGGCTAGCCTGGAATTTACTGTGTAGCTGAAGGTGCCCTTGAACTCCCGATCCTCCTGCCTCCACCTCCTGAGTGCTGGCAGGCCTGTACCATCATGCCAAGATTATGCAGTCCTGGCGATGGAACCCAGAACTCCATGCTTGCTAGACATGCACTCTGCCAACGGAGCTGCGTTTCCTGCCCTTATTGCAGACCCGAGGCAGTCGTCTGTCAGGAAATGGGGGTGTGGCAGTCAGAAAGTGAAAGGGGGCAGGCAAGTAGACTGCTCGGTGGGTACGGGGTGCAGGAAGAGTGTGTAGACAGAGAACAGCATGTGCAAAGGCCCTGAGGTTGGAGAGCCATTGAAGGACAGACTGCACACACAGCTCTGTCTTGCCTTCCTTTGCAAAAACACTCTTGAAATGACATTCTGTGTTGCCTCCAGACCAACATAAAAGCGTGATGGCTCAGGTTTATAGTCCCAGCATTTAGAAGCCTGAGGCAGGAGGATTTGGGGTTCCAGGTTAGCCTGGGATACATAGGGAGCCTCGAACTCAAAATCCAAACAAAACCAAAGCAAGAAAACAAAACCAGAATGTCCATTTACTTTACTTTGTTTTTCTAAGACAGGGTCTCATGGAGCCCTGGCTGGCCTGGAACCCACTACACTGAGGCTGAGGCTGCTGCGAAGCCCTGCTCTTGCTGCTTCCGCCTCTGGGGTGCTGGGATCATGGGCGGGACCATGGGACCCAGCGCTTCATCATCACAGGCGAGCACCTTGCTGACTGAGCTGTAGGTCCAGTCCATGCCTGACTTCTGATTTTAAAATGAACAAAAACATTGTATGGGGACTCCTGTGCATACCCTGGGTCCTGGGTGATGTGTCCCTGTGCCCAACAGGCAAAGCTGAGTTGGCTGTGAACAGCTGCCTCGGCCTCTCTTGGCTCCACACCAGGTGGCAAAGCTATTACTTCCTCCTCTCCAGGGCATCGGGAAGTTGACACCTTCTAGGATGGAGCTGGGAGCCCTTCACACACACGCACGCACGCACGCACGCACGCACACGCACACACACACACACCGCTCTTCCCAGGGTGCTGTGGGCTTGGGAGTCTTTGGGCTGACAAAGGAAAACAGAGGAGACCAGGGTTGGCCCCATGATAGACCCACTCAAGCAAAGGGCCCAGGGGCTCAGCTGAGTCACTTCATCTGGGTGATTATTATGACTTAATTTGGTGCCTTCTGACTTGGCTCCAGGTGAGACAGGCTCTGACTTCACTGGCTGGGCCAACTCCCTTGACCTCTCTGATCCTCCTCACACTTGCTTGCTCTGGCCTGGTCCCCAGCTTCCATGGCGAAGGACAGAAGAGTCCAGAAGGCACTAGACCAGTGTAGTGTCATCTGGACAGCCAGGTCTTTGCGGTTCTTATGTGCACGGCGCTCAGTCTCAGAGAACACGAGCTGTTTCAGCTTAGCTCTTGGGCTGCGGTCTTCCACAGGATAACATCTTCCTGTCAGCAGTTAAAGTAGAATTCCCCCGCCCGCCCGCCATGTCTGTGGTTCACAAACGGACACACGGCTCCCAGAGGAAGGAAGGGGGCCGTGGTGGCCACCAAAGCAGTGTAGACAGGGAGAAGGTAACGGGGACCCCGAGGTCCCTCTCCCTCTGTCAGCTTCTTTCCTTGACCTCCTAGGGTGAGCTGGAGTGGACAATCCTCAGGGTAGGTAGCTGCGGCCAAACCACATCCATTTGGGCCACAGACTCGGGACAGGGGGCAGACAAGAAGGGGCAGAGGCGCCATTTTATACTTCTCTCTGCCTAGGGCATCTGCTCTACTCCTTCCCTTGTTCATTCTTTCGTTTCACAAACGTTGGCTGGGCTTGAGTTCTGTGCAGGTGCCGTACTGGATGTCAGGGTTGAAGCAGAAGAAATGATGGCGTACCTCTCATCCCAGCACTTGGAGAGGCCGAGGCAGGAGGAAAGCTAGATACAGTCTGGGCTGTGTCCTATCTCAAAAGAGGGAGGGTGGGCAGAGGATAGGATGGCTCCGCGGTAACTGCATTTGCTGCCGAGCATGATGACCTGAGTTTGGTCCCTAGGAATCACACAGTGACTCCTACAAGTTGTCCTCTGACCTCTGAACACATACACACACAGAAAAAAAAGATACATCTTTTAAGTTAAAAAAAAAAAAAAGGATCTACTACTACATTGGGCTTGAGCTGCGAGCCCAGGAACCTTGGAAGACACACTCAAAACACGGCACCACACATTGGAAAGAGGGAAGTTCTGCCGCAGGCTATAACTTGTATAAACTAATAACTTACTGCTGCTGGGTATGATGGCTCTCGCCTTGAATGGCAGCCCTTGGGAAGCAGAAGCGGGTAGACCTCAGTTAATCCAAGGCCAGCCTGGTCTACATATGGAGAACAGGCTAGCTAGGGCTACACAATGAGACCCTATCTCAACAAAACAAAACACCAGAAGCTGTTGCTGAGCAACAGCGGCCAGCACAGAAGGGTGTGTGTCATTACCACTGGCAGACAGCCAGAGCAGGCAAACGCAGACAGAGGACAGCTACCCAGGGCAGCTCACAAGGGGGGCCACAGGAAGTAGTGCCTGCTCACGGGGACTGAGCGATAAAACATACTCTAGGGCTGGAGAGATGCCTTAGTGGTTAAGAGCACTGGCTGCTCTTCCAGAGGTCCTGAGTTCAATTCCCAGCAACCACATGGTGGCTCACAACAATCCGTAATGAGATCTGGTGCCCTCTTCTGGCCTGTAGGCAGAACACTGTGGCAGAACACTGTATACATAATAAGTAAATAAATCTTAAAAACAGCAACAACAAACAAACAAACCCTACTCTAAACTTGACTTTGGGGAAGATATTTTAAGCCTGTGATTGTGTTAAAAACCTGCCCAAGGCCTGGAGAGACGCCTCAGTAGTTAGGACCACTGGCTGCCCTTGCTTGAATACCAGGATTTGGTTCCAAGGATCCACATGGTGGCTCACTTGTAACTCTGGCTCCAAGGGATTCATTCGATGCATCTTCTGGCCTCCATGGGCACCAGGCATGAATGTGGTGCACAGACATACATGCAGGCAAAACAAACACAGAAAAATAAAATTAAAAAGCCTTCCCCAGCCCCATAAATAGTCCACACTGGCCTCACACCCCTCTCCCTCCTGTCCTAACTTCTCCAGTGCTGGGGAAGACCAGCCTGGCTCCCATGCTCTGCTCCTTAATGCCATTTTTATTTGGGATCTTTTTGTTGTTGTTATCCTCCTGTTACGTTGAAAAGCATCTCTCTCTGCTCAAAGACACACTATTATTATTCCCTGAAGACTCTGGGTACCAAACTTTGGCCGTGAACCCTGCTCTGTGAATGCTGATGTGGAACCCAGACCGCACATGTCTGGCAGGACCAGATGTGCAGAGTTCCTTCTGAGGGCCAGATAATACTAAAGGGATGTTGAGCTGGAGAGATGGCTCAGTGGTTAAGAGCACTTCCAGAGGTCCTGAGTTTAACTCCCAGCAACCATGGTGGCTCCCAACCCTCTGTAGTGAGATCTGGCGCCCTCTCCTGGCCTGCAGGAAGAAGAGTTATACATAATAAATATTTAAAAAAAAATACTGCAGGGATGTCAATTATGACATGTACAGGATGTTACTTTTTATGTGTGCGGGTGTTTGGCTAGCATGTGTGTCTGTGCACATGTGTGCCTAGTGTGTGCCAGGTTTATCGGTACTCTGGGGCTGGACTTAAGGATGGTGGTGAGCCACCGGGTGGGTGGTGGAAATAGAACCAGGGACCCCTGCAAGGGCAGTAAGTGTTCTTCACCCCTGTAGGAAGGCTTAGCGTGCCTTCGTAGCCATCGTTCACCTCCTCTTTCCAGCCCCACTCCACCTGTCTTCCCGGCTCTCCCTACTGTCCTGTGAGGTGGGAGCTGGGATCCCTCCATGGCACACATAGGGATGGTGGCCCGAGATATCTGAGCTGGCAGCTCCCTCTTACCCACAGCACATTAAGGGCTCAGAACAAAGATAGCGGGGTTTGGTGGAGACTGCCTGTCATCCCAGCACCCAGAGGCTGTGTCAGGCCTGCTGCAGAATCCTAGAGCAGCCTGGGCTTCATAATGACCCTCGGTCAAAAACCACAAAAAGCAAGTCCAAACACACCCTCATCTGGACGGCTCAGTGTGGTGCATGCTATCTGCACACACACACACACACACACACACACACACACACACACACACACACACACGCACATGCGCACTGGGAGGAGGGCGTCCTGCTGACACCACATGGGAGTCTCCATGGTGGCCCCATAGAAACCCGGGTGCAGACACTGCCCTTACCTGGCAGATCACCCCTTCACATGCTGGCAGTCTGTTCATGTGGGGTGAAGTGCATGGTACGTGACTGCTTTGGCAGAGGATTCTGGAAGCTTCTGCCCACTTTCCTTATGCTCCCTTGCTCACCCTATTAAAATCC